ACACACACACACACACACACACACACACACACACACACACACACACAAAGAGTCAGATACACAGTTGTTGTTCTGGTGCTGACCTTAGTGCTGAAAGAACAGCGACAAACCAGGAGGGAGACCCCTGAAGCCATAAAGTGATTTGCTGGGTTGACACTTTTTTTTAAATGTTTAGATCATGTTGGACAGATACACAAACCTATTTAAAGTCTGCCTGGTGATGGAACCGATTATAAACACGACCTTCCTCAAACTCTAAACTAACCCTGGTGTAAACCTCGTCCATGGGGATAGTGTAACGAATGCAGTTACAAATAGAACTCGTCATCTTTGTGCATTGTCTGTAAATGAACTGCTGTCCGAGAGTGCAATTTCGCTGAAAGACTGCTGGACAGTCTCACTACTTCAGTTACAGAGCCAGACACTCTGGCTTTCATGCTGACTTTCAGCTTCTTGGTTACTTTACGTGATCTGCTTGATAAGATCATGTCTAATTTACATCATTGCAATGTTTAAACGCATTCAGATCACGAGGTGAACACAGACACTATTATGATTTTCAAAGAGTGACCCTGCATGGACAGCAATTATTTCCTCTTGCTATCAAGACTCCTGATCAAATCGCAACTACACTCGTATCTGCTCCAGTCTTTGCACTGAACATGAGTCCTGTTGCATTCAGAGTATTAAACCATCTGGTGGCACTTAACGCTGCAGGAGTGCATGTTGCCTTTTGAAGATCCAGATAGGAGATTACTAAAGTGTTTGTAAAGTGTAAGACGAGGCGGTAGGGGATAAGATAGAGAGGAGACGCGGGTAGTAGTGGTTGAGGAACTTCTATTTAGTATGTTTGACTGGCTGCGAAATGTGTTGCTGCGTAAAGTTCAAAATGAGAGAGAAATGGATTTGCAACGCTTTCAAGAAAACCGCAATGTGAGCAAAATAGAATAAAACTGCTTCCCGCGTGTGTGCAGTGCAGCAAACGCGAAAGATGACGTGCTTTGGAAAAGGAGTAAATAGATTTCCACATACAGGGCAGTAGGCTATTCAATGAGGTGCGCAACATAGTTTTCAGTTAAGATATAGTGGCAGTTTGTAGAAAAATGCTGAATATTTAATTCCTACCAGTTGCTGATAGAACTACAAGGGAAGAAAGATGATTAGTGTTTAAAGATTTTTTTTTATTAGCCAGAGATATTTTAAGATTTAAAGGGGTATGGTGGTGTTTGTTAATAACAGGCCCAGGGTCAGGGAGATCAACCCTGTACTGCACCAAATGCAGTAGATCAGTGTTTGGGGCAAAGTATTGCAGTGATATCCAGTACCTGGAATATACCAGGTATGCACTTCGCCTTTTGAATTACAATATAATCATTTTGCTAAAAAGCACGAGTACTGGAAGGTGTGGGTGGTACAGTTTGGTGGAAGGGTGAGGTGAATCACTGCCATATCATCCATGATCTCATAAACAGAAAGGGGAACTTAACTTCTGTGAAGTAAAACTGCAATGAAAATATAAATCTCACATCATGACTTCCCCATGTTAGGTTGGACCTAACATGGTCGCACCAACTTAGCATCATTTGGGCCATTCCACCCATTTTGTTACAGTTCTGTCTTTGTTTCCCTATAACTTCCAGAACAATACATTATAAACCCTTTGAATTACTTCACGTTGCGTTTAAACTGCAAGTTGCTATTTTACATCTTTGAGTTTTTCTGAGGAATGCAAAAGGTAGAATTCGAGCATGATTCCTAACTGAATGAATATTCTTCTTCTTAAGCTCCTGCGCACCGATTTTGGTCTAACAGCCGCCCCTCTTTGCTTAGCCCCAAGTGTCTTAACTGACATTTCCTCCTGCCTGCCTGTCACTCGATCCATTGACTTTTCCTGATTAATTGCTTTAAATGTTTCCACCGCCGCTGTTTATTGAATTACCGACAACAAGCGGGGGCTTAGCAGTGTAGTTGTTATAATCACCACAGTGTCAGAGCTCGGCGGGGTATCCAGGCAGATTCAGGTGCAGATCATTTGACTGGAAACTTCTAGTATCCTCATCACCTTGTAGATCCTTGTATGTCTAGAATAATTGGATTTGAAGAACGCATCCATTGTACCAAGTAGATGAACCTGCAATGTGTAAATTATTTTCCTTTTTTGTATATCAAATACATGTTGCATGCGATGTTGCTTGGAATACACTGCACGGAGCTGAGAGTTTCGGTGATACTTTCATGCTTGATTAAGAGTGCAATATATAATGATTCGGTTACTTAAATTAGAAACTATCTTGCGCTTTAAAACTCTTGGCGATCAATCAACATATTTCGTTATTCAACCGAGGTTAGGATAGAAACACATTGTAATTACCTAGATTATGTTCTTGTGCACGATTTATGCTTGTGAACGCAATCGGTTCAGCAGTGTCAAGATTAGTGGTAGAGAACTGTAGCGCCCCCGTAAGAGAGCATTTAGCATTTAGGATGTCACCCCCGCAACCACCGCCCCCCATATCTTGATTATTCTTTTTCGACTTGAAAGACGGTATGGATTGGAACTTTACTAAACTTCAGGAAACTTTTGTTTCATTGCGATACAGGCAACGCATCTCGTTCTCTTTAATCTGAAAACTGACTGGCACTTTTTTCATTCTTTCACAGGATATAGGTTGCCTATCTCTAATTGCCTTTAAGAAGGTATTGGCCAACTGCCTTCTTAAACTGCAGCGATGCTTGGGGTGTTGGGACACGCACAGTCATGTTCCACTTATTTTTATCCTAATGGTTATGAAAGAATAGCGAAATAGTTCCAATAACAGGATGGTGTGTAACTTCGAGGAGAACTTGCAGGTAGTGGCATTCCTGCGTATGAGCTGGCCTTGAGCGAGATGTTAGCAACTGTGGTCTTGGAAGGTACTGTTGCAGGAGCCTTGTTGAGTTGCTGCAGTGCATCTTATAGCTGATACACGATGTTGTCAGAGCCATATTAGGGTTAGTTGGAGCGTTGTTAGCCTTGTTTTTTGATCCATAGCTCATTCAAGGTAGCTATAAATAAATGTTGGGTAAGTGAAATGATGTAACAAATAATTTGCTTTTAGCAATTGCAGGAGAAACCTGACAAATATCATCTGATAAATATTTGAGAAAGAGATAGATCCAGGGCCAAATGCTTTACTTTGTGAAGAAGGTCAGAGAATATGACACCATTGTAGATTTTGGAAAACCTAATGTAACAATTTGTTCCCCAGGCATTTTTCAATTCAACGTCATCTCTCCTAATCATTAAAAGAGAAAATTAATAAGAACTGAAGATTTAGCAAATATGTGAACTCGACTCCTAGAGTAACCTTTTTGATGACTTTATCAGCTGATATTTATCTAGTTCTTTAAGAAAAATATCTGTTCAAGAACAGAACTGGAAGTTAGAAATATAGACGATTAAGAATTGTTGGAACAGCGTGATTTCCTCGCTGCATACGAAGATTCTATCAACGGATACACTTGAAGAATATCAATTGCAATATTAGATTAATATCTTAGATTTTTATGCGATTATTCTGGAGGCTAGAGAGACATTCACAAAGCCCCTATTTCATACCATCATCAGGCAGCAATTTGCAATTTGAAACAAAATCAGAAATTGCTGGAAAAACTCAGCAGGTTTGACTGTGTCTGTGGGGACAAGGCAAAGTTAACGTTTCCAGTCTGCTGAATCTTCATCCGAAGTAATAGCAGTTAGGAATAAGTAGTATTTACGCTGAAGAAGGGGTTTTAATAGAATGGAAGGAGAGGTGAGCGGATAGGTGGAGATGGAGCCCAGAGAGAGAGAGAGATACCTTCAACATCCGCAGTTCGCTGTTTTAGTTCAATGAACAATTCGATTTTCTCAAACAAGCAGAAAGGAACAAATTTGGAATTAGAAGAAGGTGATAATAAAGTCAGAGGTACTTTTCCACTTAGAGGTATCACTGCGCGCACAGGGATACGTCTCCATTAATTTTATCACTTCAGATTTTGAATTCCTTTAGGATTCACCACCTCCTGCTTATTCTGGAACTGGGAAGAAAGGAAGTGTACATCTCAACTTTTGCCGCGGTTTCCAAACACTCAAATTGCAGTGGAATCATAGAATGGTTTCAGCACAAGAGCAGGCCCTTCGGTCTGTCGGGTCCGTCCTGTCCGCAAGGAAAAAATTGGCAGGTCCCTGCTTTCTGCCTGTCCAGTTGTTTGTCCAATTCCCAATAAGGGCCAATTTCTGTTTTAACATGACACAATAGTTTCCTCTGATATTGACAACCCAAGGATAGTTTTCATTCCTCGTTTATGCTACTATAATGTGTTCGATGGTTAACATTTTGTTTCCTCTCTCTGAATGTTGTCCTATCTCAGTATCATTGCTGTTAACTTACCTTGGATTAATTTTTTAGCAAAGCAGATTGATCCTAATAGCTCGATTGGAAACGATCACAGATCAGACTTGTTTCCGAATCTTCTAAACCCACTGGCACTGCCCCGCAGTTAATATTTTAAATACAAATTAAAACGCCTGTGTGATACATTCAAAAATCCTCTCTATTGGGATATGTCCTCAAATTGGTTTAGGATGAGGAGACTTTCAGTCGCGCTGTAGTTGAAGATTTTGAGTTGGGATGGAAGCTCTACAGAACTTTATTACTTGGGTATGGCGACCTGTAAAATGACTTATGGCTTAATACCTTGTGCTCATTTTCTTTTCTTTAAACCTAGCCACGGAGGAGTTAAACTCAGGCGCTTTACAATTTTTTTTACGTATTACTCTCTTAGAGTTTAGTTTGTATTGGTTTCTGGCTGATCCTGTAGATTCACCTCAGGATCTGGCCTCCTCTCAGCTACAACTCGAACACAATACATAGCACT